CATATAATTGAACATTTTTCTTAATCAAATTAATTCTAATATATTTTTGTAAATAATGTGATGGATGGATTTTACATCCATCGTATCCTCGAGTAATTAATTGGTCCAGTCAATATCTATCAATTAAATTATTCAAATCAAATAATTAAAATTCACTCGAATCTTGGTTTTGCCCAGGGCAATAATCAAACGCTATCGCTCAAAGCGATAAATAAGCTAAGGTCAAATTCCTTCGCCTAGAGCGACCAAATTCAAATAAACATTAAATCTTTATCGACCAAATCAAATTTCTTCGCCTCGAGCGAATTAATTCTGATAAAGATCAAGATTCTTTATCAAGACTTAATCGAATCAATTACTTCGCCTAGAGCGATTTAATTTTAATGAAGATCTGATCTTCTTCAACGTTCAAAACCCTAATTAAAAAACTTAATTAAAACAACTAACCAATTACAAACATTTTTTACTAACATAATAAAACTCAAGATATTTTCATAAAAATGATTACTTTCTAAATTAACTGTGAACTTCGTCTACGATCACTTTTTTACAAAACTCAGACAAAGTTCAAGGATAATTCGAAAGCAATTATACGCAATCCTATAAAAAAATACCAACCAAACTACGAACTACGAATTGAGATTTTGATTCCTCATAAGAGGATACATATGCATGCAACTTAAAAACCAAGGCGAGTCCCCTAACTAAGAAAACTAAAACCCTTTTTGTTTTTCTAAGCTTTACAATTATATACCTTTAAAATAGAAATTTTCACCTTACTCTTAAACCTAAAAGCGGAGCCCCTTGAGAACCAGGCAGATGAAGGGTGTCTAACACATTCCCTTCGTCTAATTGACTTACGAACTTAGAATCTCTGAACAAATTAGGGTTATCCGTTATATTTCCTTCCTTAGGACAAAAATTAATGGTGGCGACTCTCGTTATTTTTTGCCAGTTACGACACACATGGGAAGATATCTTTCACACTGGACAATGTCTCGTGTTTGATGCATCTTTCGATTAAGGGGAAACTTTCAGATCATGAGAGGATTAACATAGATGATGCATTTGAGTTGATATTAGATTATCTAGGAGTTTATCCAAAGGCTGCCATGAGCAAGTTTGAAGCCACCCGAGGGGTTCATGCCAAGATTCAATTCTTGGACAAGGTGTATATAGATGAGCTACTTAGAGCAGAGCAGGCTACTAGTGATTAGGGGTGAAAATAAGTTAGGTTTTAGAAGGCCTAAGCCTGGGCTACGATAAACTCACAAGGTTTGAGCCTGGCCTATGGCCTATTATAGGCTCTCTTTTTTTTCCTTGCCAGAAAGCATGTTTCTGATTAATTGTTCCAATTAATCCATATTAGTTAAGAAGCCTTATAGACCGACCTATATATGTATATATAGGCCGGCATATATATATATATATATATATATATATATATATATATATTATATATATATATATATATATATATATATATATATATATATATATATATATATATATATATATATATATATATATATATATATATATATATATATATATATATATATATATATATGCCAATCTATTTAGACTATTTTTAATATATATATGAAAATATAGGTCGATCTATAAGGCTTCATAGGCTTTTTTAATAGCCTAAGTTCGACCTATTTAATTAAATAGTCTTTTAAAAAGCCTAAGTCTGACCTTTTTAATAAATAGGTCTGCCCTGACTTGGCTGTAAATAGGCTAGGTTATAGATCCATGTTGGTCGGTCTGGCCCATTCCCATTCCTACTGGTGATGATGAGTAGGTTACGCATCATAAAGCATATACTATGAGAGCATACTTGTTGTATTTGGTTGGCACTGCCATTTTTGTGGACAAGAGTGCCACTTATGTGGATTTCATCTACCTACGATGCTTTATTGACTTTGAGCGGATCCATGAGTATAATTGAGGGTCGTTTGTTAGGTCTACTTGTACTCTAAGTTATCTGAAGGCTGTATGTGGAAGACGAAATAAGTGATAGGCAACATCACACTATTGAAGGTAATATTTCTTGGTCTTTTAGTGTTTGTATGTCATTTTTCATAATGCATTTGCAACACCATTGTATTTGTTCATGTGTTCCAACTCTTTTTAGGCTTGGATCCTCCAACACTTCCCATGTGTCTCTGGTTAGTCATGTGTACCGACCTATACTTAGGATATGTCATGTGCTTTTGCATTCACTTCACTTATATGGAA